TTCAGTCCACTCCTTGTGAAGCTCTCCCAAGTGTTTGAATCGGCTTTGCTTGACAGTATTCTCAAGCTTGCGGTCATCCCTGTTGTTTGTGCCCCTTTTCCTACCCATTTTCTTCCTTCCAGTCAACTTTGCATTTAATATGCTTTAATACAGCACTCTGTGAACAGCCACCCCTTTCAGTAATGACCTTCTGTGACTTACCCTCTTTGTGGAGTGTGTCAATGATCGTCTTCTGGACCATTGCCAAGTCAGCAGTTTTCCCATTATTGTGGTTTCAAAGAACAAGAGATACCCGGAATTTATACTGTAGGGATGGTCATTTAATGAAACTCAAATGTAAATATTCTAATATTTTGAGATACTGGGTTATTGACTTTCATGAGCTCTAAGCTCTAATCATCAAAATAAAAAATTAAAAAATCTTTTGAAATGTTTTACTTTACATGTAATGAATCTAGAATATATAAAAGTTTCACTTTTTGAAATAAGTAAAAAAAAATAATAATAATAATTTTTTCACGATATTCAAATTTTTTTCATTTTTTTGTAGGAAAGTTAACATAAATAGAGCTGCCCAGACATCCTTTTACCTAGCAACTACCATCAGCTCCCAGGCCAGCTGGGAGACATAATCCATCCAGTACATCCTAGATCTGTTCGGGTTCTCTTCCCAATAGGACATGCCCGGAGAGAACCATGAAACCATGACTTCTGATATGGAGGTGTTGACCTTCATCCCCACGGCTTCATGCTCACTTACAGACTGACCCAATAAGTGCTGTAAGTTACAGCCTGGTGAGGTCATCAGGACAACATCCTTGGAAGGGGTGTTCCATGTTTTCATACGGTCTTCTGGTGGAATGACAAAAAAAAAAAAAAACTATGTGAGTGTTGGAGGCACTAGTGTGTAGGCAGGCGTTTAGATACATTTTCATATTGTACATGTCTCAGAGTGAGTTACCCCTTCCTTGGATCACCACCTTAACAAGGAGCATTTTAAGGGATTTGTACATTCAACAAATGTAAATCTTAAAAAAAAACATAGGCTTCAACACTTACCCTTAGCTGTTACTAGTCACTACTGAAAGAGTATTAGTATCTAATAAACAAGAACTGGTATCTAATGAATAAGTGCTGCTTATGCACAGCAGATTTCCGCATTCTGTTAAACAGGTCTCAGCGCTTCCGGTTCAGCCGTTTATTATATGCTTTGTTAAATATGAAGCTCCTTTACTCAAGATGCCTTCAAAGTAGATACAGTACATACAGTTAGATGTAACAGTAGATACAAAATGATTATAACCAATGTCCATCACATATAAGTTTTTTTTTCTTCTATTTTTATTCCTTTCACATTGTTAACATGTGTATGGAAAATAACATGTATGTGGAAAATAATGTGTTTTTTTTTAACCTTAAACCGCATAAACACATTTCATTACACCAAATTTTTAACTTTAACAGATACTTCCTGTTTATAGTTGGACCATAAAATGACCATATGACCATTGCAAAATATTGCTTGTTAACCTGTACAAAGTAATGTATTTGTTTGTTTTACATTTATTGGTGTTTTGTAATTTTATTGTAATTTTTTTATTACCCTTAAAACATTAAAATAAAAATGCTTTAGTGTCAAGCTGTCTGTTTTGGTACTTGTGTTTCAGGGTGATAAATGCAGGTAAGAGTGCTCTGAATGAGGACCAGGCATGCTGTGAGGTTGTACTGGTTAAGAAGAAACCTATAGGATCCTTGACACCCAGAAAGCTGCCTACAAGTAGAAGGAGGTCGTCTCTTCCCAATAGCGATGGCATGGGCATGTTGGAAAATAATGTAAGTGCTTGTTCACAGTACCAGGGTTGAAAAAAGAGCATCTTAATATCTGTGATTAATATTTGCTGTTTGACGCTTTAAAAATAATAGACACATTAATACAGTGTCCAATTTTTTCAATTCTTAAAGTAGCTATGCTAATGTTTTTTATTGGCTGACCTTGGTTAGCATTACAGTATTTGATCACACTATCTTAGTACCTCTCACCATCTACACAAAGCAAGAGAGAGCAGCTGACCAAGGATGGTACACTCTCAGAAAAAAAGGTGGGTCATTCCATAAACATTCCAAAGTTCCCCAGCTCAAACTTTTGATTTTGTCAGTATTTTTTCTGAAGAAAGATAAACATGTATTGCGATGATAGCCAAAATATTAAATGTCATGGATGTACATTTACTATCCACTATTTTGTAGACAATTTTCACCTGAGATTCAGAGCCAAATTACATGAGGGTAAAAATGACTTTAGAAATATGGCAGTTATTTTTACACAGAGATTGGTAGGTCTATGAGTAAAATCTGTTGCATTATATGCCAATGGTGACCATTCAAAACTGGGAAAAAGCACTTTTCAAGGTTTTTTTTTCTCAGAAGTTTTCATGCCTGTAACTCAAGAAGTATTAAAGATAATAAGATAAATCTTAAATGCCCTTTTAGATTTTGGGTCTTAACAAACATTCCTTATAGCATCTTAATTTTTAAGGTCCTATATGGTTCCATTTCAGCGATATTGGGATCTTAGTATGGTTCCAGGAGTAAGGAGTTGTTCAGTTGCACACATTTTTAGTGGCCAAAAAAACAAAACAAAAAACAAATGTGGGTCACATTGCATACATATGATACTTTTTTCTTTTAGAAATGTTTCTTGTTTCCCTCTATCAATACAATTTCATAGAATATACCTGTCCAAGTGCAATATTTGTTTTTTCAAAGTTTGAATACTTATAACTCAAGAAATATTAGAGATATCTCAATATTATTTTAGATTCTGGTTCTTAATAAACATTTCTTTGGATTTTTCATTTTCAAGGCACTATATGGTTCATCCCAGAGATATGGTATCTGGCTCCATGTCCAGATGTTGAATATTACCTATTTTCAGTGGTCAAAAAACAAATGTTGGCAACTTTGTATACAGCTGATACTTATTGTATTTAATGAGGAATATCTGAAAAATAAATAATAATCAAACTAAATTTGTAGCTTGTTTACCTCTATCAAAACAGAACATACATGTCTGGGTGCTAAAAATGCACTGAAATGATCAAGGATCCCATTTACTCAAAATTTAGAATTACCCAGTATTAATTATTTAAAGTGTGAGAAACCTTAAATGTTTCAAAGTTTGAAAGTATTTTTTATTTCACACAACTCTTACTTTACCCGGAGTTAACAATTAATCCTGGTTATTCATAATCTGATGTGTCACAGTACACATCACTGTTATTATTTGCATATTTGCAGTGTGAACAGTTATGACTAGATAAACACAAATTCACATTTGTTTTTCAATCATTGAAAATGGGTAGGACTCGACAATTTAGACATGGAGTCACATTGAGATCCCAATATCTCTGGGACTGAACTATTCAAGGCCTATAAAATGAAGATTCCAAAAGAAACGTTTCTTAGGAACCAGGATCTAAAATCATACTGAGATATTTAATGCTTCTTGAGTTACAGACACAAAGTAGTAAAATAAAGTTTTCCTTTGGAAAAAGGAATTTTTTGGCATTCAGACAGGTTCTATGCAATTGTCATGATAGAGTGAAACAAGATACATTTCTACTTTCAATATTATTTGTTTTTCAGACATTGTTCTTTAAATACTACAAGTTTTAGCTGTATGCAAAGTGACCACAGTTTTCAACCACTAAAAATTGGTAAAATGTAACAAATGGGACGTAGGGCTCCCCATGTCTCTGGGATCGAACCATATAGGGCCTTAGGAATGAAGATTACAAAAGAAAAGTTTATGAACCAGAATTTAAAATGATATTGAGATATTTTAATATTTCTTGAGTTAAAGGCATGCAACCTTTGGAAAAATAATATTTATGGTATGTAGACAGGTTTTTTTTCTATGCAGTTGTTTTGATAGAGGGAAACAAGATACATTTCTATCATTTGTTCTCATACATTCTTCTTTTAAAAAAAAAAACATTTGTATGTACCCACATTTTGTTCTTGACCACTCAGTATGTGTACAATTAAACGATTTACTCTTGGAGCCAAATTGAGATCCATATATCTCTGGGACTGAACCACACAGGGCCTTAAAAAGCACAAAAGCTGTCACTGGGGCAGTATTTTAAGGGTATACAGGTGCATCTCAATAAATTAGAATGTCGTGGAAAAGTTAATTTATTTCAGTAATTCAACTCAAATTGTGAAACTCGTGTATTAAATAAATTCAATGCACACAGACTGAAGTAGTTTAAGTCTTTGGTTCTTTTAATTGTGATGATTTTGGCTCACATTTAACAAAAACCCACCAACAAATTAGAATATGGTGACATGACAATCAGCTAATCTCAACAAATTATAATACTTCATAAGACCAATAAAAAATACATTTTTAGTGAATTGTTGGCCTTCTGGAAAGTATGTTCATTTACTGTACATGTACTCAATACTTGGTAGGGGCTCCTTTTGCTTTAATTACTGCCTCAATTCGGCGTCGCATGGAGGTGATCAGGTTGTGGCACTGCCTAGGTGGTATGGAAGCCAGGTTTCTTTGACAGTGGCCTTCAGCTCATCTGCATTTTTTGGTCTCTTGTTTCTCATTTTCCTCTTGACAATACCCCATAGATTCTCTATGGGGTTCAGGTCTGGTGAGTTTGCTGGCCAGTCAAGCACACCAACACCATGGTCATTTAACCAACTTTTGGTGCTTTTGGCAGTGTGGGCAGGTGCCAAATCCTGCTGGAAAATTAAATCAGCATCTTCAAAAAGCTGGTCAGCAGAAGGAAGCATGAAGTGCTCCAAAATTTCTTGGTAAACGGGTGCAGTGACGTTGGTTTTCAAAAAACACATTAGACCAACACCAGCAGATGACATTGCACCCCGAATCATTACAGACTGTGGAAACTTAACACTGGACTTCAAGCAACTTGGGCTATGAGCTTCTCCACCCTTCCTCCAGACTCTAGGACCTTGGTTTCCAACGTTTGGTTCTGTTTTTCTCCCTCATGTGCCCATATTTGGTCGTTCCTGTTCCTGTCCTCATTGTGTCTTTATTAGTTAACCTCCTTTCACTTGTGTCTTGTTAATTAGTCATTAGTTCCTCTTCCGTTTGTATAAATTCCCTTCCTTTAGTTCTTTGAGTTGTTGGTTATTGCATGTGGTTATCCTTCGTGTGGGGATATTCCCTTCATCTTTCCCTGTGGATTTATTAAGAAGAATTAAGATTATCTTCGACGTATGCTCTTCTGTCTTCATTCCAGCACGTAAGCGTGACAATTAGTACTTAAAATGTACATATTAGTAACTCAATTTTACATATTAATAGTGCCCCAGTGAAAGCTTTTGTATCTTTTTTTTTTTCTGAGAATGCATGTACCTAGTCAGCTTACCCCTGCTATTGGATGAAATTAGAGTCTCAAAATTAAAAACAATACATGCCTAATTATCCATAAACTTGATAAATTTATTTATTTAGTCATTTAGCAGACGCTTTTATCCAAAGCGATTTACAAATGAGAACAACAGAAGCAATCAATTGTAGTATTAAAACAACTAAAAACAGATCCAAAACTAAAAGCTAAAACTTTATAAATACTACTTATACACATGTTAAAATAAATGTAAATAAATGTTTAATGTCTAAATGTTGCAAATGTGTCTTACTATGTACAACCGAACACCTTTTACGCCTTATCTGCAAATTTCAGAATTAAATGTATGTGCAGTGATTTGTGCAATTAGAGATATGTTTGTTAATACAAATGTTTTTGTTTGTGTTAGTGTATCATAATGCATGCAACAAAGAAGATGTGCACCTGATGTCTCAATACTATTTTCACCACTATTCATTTGCATTTTTTGTAGTTTGTATGCTATAAAATTAAATGTTTGTTTAGGTTCAGTTAAAAATATTTTATAGAATTTGTTGTAACTTAAGACACAGAATAAATGTTTAAAAGACCCTTTTAGAGCTCTTTTACATTGGTGCTTCATTCATTCGTTTATTTATATATATATATATATATATTCCATAAGGATTGCTGGATTAGCTTAATTTTAAACAAATTATGATGATTGTTGTGATTCAGTAAGACATCAGACAACAGTGGCCAATTTAGGCATGGGGGGGAAGGCAGTCGGGACGGCACATTTCTATCACTCGTTTGAATGTCACGTCAATGATATTATGTCACCTTAGTATTATGTGGGAAAGGGAGGCAAGGGTTGACCTCAATCACCTCAGGTCTCTCCACTGGAAGGCCAAGGTAGGGGATTCTATAAAGCACATTAAAATGAACTGATTTCATTATGGTTTGTTCTGAGCAAAAATGTATTTATTTATGGTTGGTTACTTTTTGTTTTGTTAGAACAACATAAAAGAACAGTTAATAATGCGCTTTTATATTGAGTGTACATTGTGATAAGCTTTGAAAATAACAAAATATTTTTTTTTAGAAACTGATGCTGTTGTAACATAAATATTTTTAGTATGTTTACCATTTTAAATGGTCTGCAGCAACAGAGCCATCAATACTGCAAGTGCAGGCGGCATTTCTTCAGTCGACAGATTCTTGTAGAGCTTCTTGGATTTAACCTACTTTTATTTCTTCATTCGTTTGAAATAAAATATTGTACTATATTAATAAATCATATATAGTTATTACTACAGTATTTTATTACTAAAGGGGTTATATTGATTTTTTTAAAATTACATGGTCAAGAAATTAACAAATAAAAAGTAATTCTACTATTAAAATCAACTAAGTTTCATAACTTAAATTTCATTGTTAGTCCAAAAACATTTATTGAATTATCCACAAACATTTACTGAGACCAATCTGCCAAAACGTATTTTAATAGCTTTCTACTTCTGCATTTTTATTAACATAATAGAGATGAATACATCGGTGAAACACTGCTTGCACAGATCTACGCCTCCTGAATAAGACCCAAGTGAACATAATTAGTATGGGAACTAATACAAACACAGGACATAAACACAGAATATGACAACATGGAAATTTTTGGAACCGAATGCAAAATAAAATCCAAGGAAACAAAATAGTTGAAAACTTAAGTGTGGGAATCCTAGGGAACACATGATAAATGTGACTGTAAATAACCATGTGTCACAGAAACACCTGCCTCACCAGCCGAATCAGCCTCCTGCCTCTTTGTCCCGGATGTGACAGAAGACCAGCCCCTCAAAATTAAACGGATTACAACACGGACTCATGGATTCTCAGAGCGCATCCTCACCGGAACCCTCACCCATTCGGACTTTCACCGCCTCTCTCCCCGCCTGTCCCATGGCCCGGCCAGCCAGCTTTTCGGGTGAGGCAACCTTCGGCAGCGGGTTCTTGCTGCAATGTTCCCTCTATCTGGAGTTGCAACCACACCTGTTTGTGACTGAGCGGGACAAGGTGTCATTCATTATCTCGTTGCTGTCTGGACGAGCCTTGCAGTGGGCCGAAGCCTTGTGGACTGCACAGAGCCCGGGGATTCACTCGCTGGAGGGTTTTGTGAAACTTCCGGGAGGAAATTTCTAACACTAGTGTAAAGCTTTCTATTTATTCCTCTGGCTCAGTGTATATTTAAAACTGTAAATATAGAAGCAAGCTGAGTTAGAAGCAAAACTACTCATATTCCACACAGCCTGTATGGTAACTTCAAAAATTAAAAACAAACAAAAAAAAACAATTTAATTAGCAGTGATTGACAGTACAAACACAAAATTGTTTGCACAGAGGACATGATGAAAATGCTGAAGTTTTAAACCTGTTAACATTTAATGATCATTCCTGACCTGTTAAATCAATAACCATCAGAAACGTACCTGTCACGGAAACACCTGCCTCACCAGCCGAATCAGCCTCCTACACCCGCTCAATCACCCGATTACTAATCACGGACACCTGCACCCACTTACCACACCAGTCAAATACACACTCACCTCAGTCACTCATCGGCTGGTCTCAAGGTTGCAAGCTTCTCTGTCCTGGTTCCTTGCCTCCCGATCTGCCTTTCAACCATCGGATTCCTCAGTTCTCGGCCGGAGGACCGGAGTGCCGACCCCAGATAAGACTGTGTTCTATGCTTCCATTTATCCCTAAGTTGAACTCTTTTCCGTTGGAAGCCTCTCCTAAGTTCCTATTATTAAACTCTGATTTACGTTAACCTGCCTGTCTGCCTCTTTGTCCCGGTTGTGACGCCATGTTAATACTAATGGCTGATATGTGAACAGTGCTTTTTAATATGCAAGGACTCGTGTACAGTCAAATATTCTTTGTCGCAAAATTGTTTATTGCTGTTTATGCATTAAATCAAGCCAGTGATTATAAATGGTCAACCTCACACTTCCTCTGTGTAGCTTGGAAATTATGTTATTTAAGTTGAAATTAAATTATATACTGAAATCTTTATAATCACTTGAGCTGTCAGTTACAAGTTTATCAGTGACTGAGTACTGAAATCTTGTCAAAACTCTAGTTATAATCATTGACATTGTCTACACTGCACAATGAGTCTCCTATTTACATTATGTTTGCATTGTGTTAGTTATGATAAAAGCATTCATGAGAATGAGGAAGTCAGGCTGCAGTGACAAGATTTGTGTGCTAAACAGGCATGACTGTGATCAGCAGTAGTCTACAACCTTTCATGTAATGGGAGTTTATCTAAATATAATGTTATAATCAACAATTTTCATGATTAGTTAATCTCATCATGTTATAGCAAAAATGTAGTAAATGCTTTCAGAAGAGTTCAATAAACCAGAACTGTGCTTGTTCATTGAAGATGCAGGACACCACCTAGTAGCGCATTACAATAATCCAGTCTTGAGAATAGGAATGCATGAACTAGCCTTTCTGCATCTGAAACAGGTAACATTTTTCCATAACTTGGCAATGTTTTGATTTTCAAAAGACTAGTTGCTGTCTATGACACTTAGGTCTTTAACTGTAAAGGAAGAAATAACAATACAACCTTAATGCAAAACTTATGTGTACAGCATTTTGGTCCAATGAATAATATCTTTATTTTATCAGAATTTAATAGAAGAAAATACCGCTCATCCAGTATTTAATGTCGTAAACATGCTCTGTCACCCTATTTTGCAAAGTGTATGATGTAACCATTTTAATAAGTAAACCCCATGAAACTCTGGTTTAATGTGATTTTAGAATAGCAAAAGTGGTTGTAGGCCCCCCATCCACGTCATGCCTAACAATGTCCCTTAGCTGTTCTAAAATAACTATAAACCACAAATTGCTGGGAAATTGCTAAGCAGCTGCTGTTTGCTCTGTTGTATTATGTAGGATTGTATTTTTCCACAAGACTCAGAAGGGCTGGTCTTCCATTACTGGGCTCTGTTTGATGGTCACGCTGGCTCAGGAGCGGCAGTGGTGGCTTCCAGACTGCTACACCAACACATTGTGGAGCAGCTCCAAGGTGTTCTGGAGGTCCTGACTAACTTGGCGTCTCTTCCCCCAACTGTATTGGGTGAAGAACCCAACTACCATCCATCCCCAGGCACACAAAGGGCTCTCACCCGAGCTGCTTCCCTACGCGGTGCCACTGGTGCCCCTGGCTCTCCCTGCACCCCTCCAACACGGTTCTTTGTGGAGAAGAAGGTCCAACATGAAAGCCTTGTGACTGGTGCCTTGGAGAATGCCTTCAAGGAAATGGTGAGGTCCAGTTCTGTGTAGTTTCCACAAAAGTACTGGATGTGGTTTGAGTTTGGTTTGAGTTACACTTTTCAACAGAAAGGAGTTTTCCAGTTCCAGCGATATTAGAAAAGAGAGAATGAAACAGCTGTATAAAATGTAAATATTTAAAATGTATGTTATTACATATATAATAAATATTTTAAATATATATTGTATTGAAATTTGGATTTACTTTAATGCTTAACTTTTAAACCATATTACAGTAATGTTTTCCTAAGAACAAAGGGGCAAAGAGTGCTTCCTCGATACAATTTGGATGAGAAAAAAAATTGTGTGTAGTTAATGTGAGGGAGAAACAGCCAGATATAGATGAAAAGTCGCATGAGAAGAGGCGGTGCCTCTACCTAGCTGTGACTAGCTCATAACCCTGTCATTGTGATGCTTGTTACCGTAAGTTAAATTTATAGAAATGGATGGACAAAACTAACTTGTGTCATCACTTGATCTTGTCCGAAACAAACTTGAACTTTAAAGTTCTTGAAAGCCTTTGTCTCTTACTGAAGAGTTGACAAGTTATTGTCATCAGCAACATGACATATCGCAATCAAAGGTAAAATAATAAATAAATAGTTTGCCAAAGGTAAAAATAATAATACAACTAACAAAAAATTAAGTGGTACCGCATAAACAAAGTGGAAAAATTAGACCTCTTGTATAGACTAATCTCACTCACAGGTATCAATGTAATTTCCATAAAACTGAACCACAAAAGAACCACATAGATGGCAGCATAGTGTACTATTGCTAACTAGAGAACTGAATGCACCTCAACCATGGTAAAATCACTGTAAGCCTGATCTCATGTCTCTTCTTGCTTATAGCAAAAACAATATGGTAAAAGACAACATTGTTCAGTAAATATTTTAATTTCCTGCTAATAGTAATTACAAAAATAGCATTAAAATGTTTTGCAACATAACATTTCTTATTAAATGTATACTGTATTTTTGATGCTTTAATATAGAGTTCAGTTGATGTGTGGCCACATGTGTGCATATATTAGATATTTTACAATAGTTTTGTAAAATAGTTTTCTTTACTTCATCTCCATGTCTCTATGCATCTGTGTTTATTTCAGGATGCCCAAATCGAGACAGAGAAGGCTATATACAATATCTCTGGTGGCTGCACTGTGCTTGTAGTGGTCTTCCTGCTGGGAAAGCTGTATGTTGCTAATGCTGGAGACAGCAGGTAAGATATATATAGGGCTATATATAAGGACTGTCTGGAAAGTATCCACTCATGTAATATGAAAAATATGAGATGTAATAGCCTACAGTGAAAACAGCCGCAGCTATGAGCAGCTGGTGATTGCAGGGTTGCCAATTTTCACGCATTTGGCATGAGACACACGCTTCCTGGGTCTGTCTACGCTCTCACTCTGCCCATGTAAATCTCATGCCAAATTGGCAACCGTGCTTGCGATGTGAAACAAAGTATCAGCTTTCAAATTCTGTAAGTTTTAATACCAAATTCAAACAAAAAATACAGTTTTGGCGCACTTAATGTGGCGTAAATCGTAAAATGAAGGTGACATATCATGAAAATCTGACTTTTCCAGGTTTTAAGTGCTATAATCAGGTCCACGGTGCATCTACCAATCAAGGAAATGTGAAAAAGATTAACCCAGTAGCTTTGTTTTGGTAAGCCTTTTTCTCTAATTTATTTCCCAGCAGTTTACCTTCACAGACATAACCGACTGTTTTTGTTACTCGTGTGTTTGTTTTTAATGTAAACTTGTGTGTGAATGAGAACTTTCTGTCCATGTGCTTCGGATATGTGCACTCAGAAAACGTATATCAGCCAGAGCTATTGAAAAACAGAGTTGCGACAAGCTTTGATCTCGCCGGCACTGCCACGCGGTCACGTGATCCATAGAGCTCTCCAAACAAACCAGCGTTGACAATACATTTGAATGGGCTTATGTAGGATAGACGACAGCTTCATTATACAGGTATTTGCAGCAATTGTTTTGGTAAACATTACAGCATATTATGCATTGATTATTACGTCGATGACATTTACAGTATCATCTTTATTCTGTTTTTTTTTTAACCCTCAGGTATTGCTTACTTATGTGACCATACAGCTTAACTATTTTTCAATTAAATAAGTGTTGTATATTTTAGTTCAATAATATTTATTTAATATTTTGAGGAGATCTTTTGGTACTAAGTACTATTTGTGCAATAATTATGGTCCATTAATGACTTAAAATATTTTTTCTAATATTTCTATTACTCATATTACAATTAGTGTAGTATTTAAGGTTAAAATAGAGAAAAGGGTTTTAAATTCCTAAGCAAAGAGGCAAAGTCATTTTGTGGTCAGAAAAAAAATATTTTCATTTGTAATGCCATGGTTTACCCATAGGTACCTGTATGGCTCTTTACTAAATATATCTAGAATATTGCAGGTCATACCTGCGTACTTATTTTTAAGTTCTTCATTTGAATAAATATTTAAACATGATTAAACACTAGGGCAGCCTAGATTATCATGCACTTTCACAGCAAAATAAACGTTTTTTTCTTTATTGAATAGTAAAAAAAAAAGCCCTCTTTGTTCTCTTTCTCTGGATCATTGTTTTCTACACTGGTGACTCTTTTCAACTAACTTTTTATATTTAAACCAAACAAGGCCATAATCATGTCTAGAACATTGGAGGGACCAATTGTTTTGAGGAAAATATAAAGACCAGACCACTATGGTAATAGTATTTATTTAAAGAAACTAAATAAATAAAGGATTTAAATGGATTTAGGGGAATAAATAAAATAAAAAAAACAGTAAAAGAATAAGAATTTTTGTAAAGTAATCAATCTGAACTGCAAATAATATTTTTATTTTAAAATATGCACCCATTCAATTTCAGTTGTATTGTTGAAAACGCAAAACAGAACATTGCTATTGTCATAATCAATTATAAATTACATGAATCATGTAAATGGCAGACCTACTTTCCATTCAAAACCGTGGAATTTGCCAAAAAAAAAAAAAAGGTAGAATAGTTTGCATCACTGGATATTGCTGGTCGTTTATGTCGGGGAACGCTACGTTTCTTATACAGTAGAGCCGACTGTTGCAACGAACGCAACTTTCACCGCACAAACTCTTTACTTTCAGTTTTCATTCTTACATTAAGCATTAACAGCAATCCAAAAGGGGGAAGCTTTCAACTGAACTGTATAGTCTACATGCATTTTAGATGTTTATGCTTATAATATGCTCTTGCCCCGTCCATGCACGTTAGGCTATTATTGTTACGGGGCTGACAAGACGTGAGACGTGCGGATCCATGTGCAAGCTTTTATTTAAAGCAGAAGAGGTCAGAAACACAGGCAGGGTCGAACAATGGCAAACAGGTATATGGCGGGCAAGACACAAGAATAATCCTAGGGCTAGCGTAGGTCAACGATCGGCGAACAGAATCAAAAGGGCGAGACTAGAGGGATAAATCCAGGAAAACAGGCAAAGATCAGAAACCAAGAAAACAGACAGGGCAAGACTAGGCTAGGACTGGGAAACTAACGAGGGCTCTGTAAAGAAGCTATCACTGACAATAAAATGTGACCAGGAAAACAGGCAAAGATCAGAAACCAAGAAAACAGACAGGGCAAGACTAGGCTAGGACTGGGAAACTAACGAGGACTCTGTAAAGAAGCTATCACTGCTGGCGATAAGCGCATACAATACTCGGCAGTTTGATAGGAGTCAGATTGAGTGATATATAGTGAATGTGTGATTGGATACAGCTGTGTGCAATCAGTGCTGTGTGCAATCAGTACAATGGATGATGGGATATGTAGTCCGGGATGATGCAACAGTTTGTGTAGTGCGAGAGTCAATGTAATGGAAAGGGTGACCTATGATGGCAAGCAGACGGAAGTTCATGGACCGGATTCGTGACAATTATGAGCGTGTTTTTTAAAACATTAAAACCACTCAGGTAATTTCAGTGGTAGGCTATGATACATATTCATGTAGCCTATTAAACTCCCCGTAACTCACAAACTCCCCGTGATAGCGCGCAAATATTTCTGCCCGTTTACGCTCGTTGTCAGCCTCTGCTGCTTTTCTGTAACAGACTAAAGCTCCGCGTGAATTCAGCGCACCTTGCATTCAGCTAATAAAAGAAAAATGCTGCAATTTTCTGGTGTTATTTTATTATTGTTGGGGCAGTCTACAACTATATCTTAAACTTCTTAAAATACAGTCCACTTCAGATTGAATTTGATCACTGCATAAAAAAATTGACGCAATCTTTATCTAATTCTGATTGGGTGGGCAAGACTGTCATTTGGGTGGGCTTAGCCCACCTCTGCACATTCCTGGAGCCGGCCGCTCCAAGCTGAACTTAAAAGTTGGCAACCCTGTGATTGGCAGCTTCATCACGACCCATCCACCCATGCATCACGTCTCATGCACAGTTTTTTGGTGAAACATCAAATCACCCAGGTAACAGCCCAGATTTAGCACCCTGCAATTTCTGGCTTTTCCCAAAACTAAAATCACCTTTGAAAGGGAAGACATTTCAGACCTTCGATGGGATTCAGGAAAATATAATGAGGCCGCTGTTGCCGATTCCAACAAAGGATTTTGCAGAGTGTTTTGAACAGTGGAAGAGATGCTGGGAGAACTGTGTGAGGTCCCAAGATGTCTACTTTGAAGGTGTCTGAGGTGTTATTGTCCTGTGTACAATATCTCTTGTATCTTCTTTGATAAATGTCTGTATTTTTCATATTCCATGGCTAGATACTTTCCCGACAGCCCTCGTATGAAACATTTATGCACATGTATACAGATTTTATAATTTTCTTATATGTACATATATGCGTGTGTGTGTGTGTGTTTTATTCCTCAGAGCCATTATAATTAGAAATGGAGAGATAATTCCTATGTCCACAGAGTTTACCCCTGAGTCAGACAGACAAAGTCTTCAGTTCCTTGTAAGTTGCAATATCTTTTGCTCTTTTTATCTTTTAACTATTTACACTCTATGTCAAGGAAACCAAATTCTTTGACATAATCTTATAATAATATTATTGTTATTATATTAATCTTTTTATGATTATAAATTGTCTTATGCCTCTCATAAATATTTTAAAAGATATTATAAAGCCATGTTTATTTTAATATTTAAAAGATATTATAAAAAGTGTTAAAGCCCTTGACCTTTTAAATGGTTTACTAATACTAAGTGGGAAGTAGAAAGTTCAACTCCTTTCCAGAATGCTGATGCTCTGACTCTATGAATGAATGCCACTCTGAACTATGGATGTCAGGGTTGGTTGAATGGACTCACTTGCAGGAAGTCTGGGCTCTTTAATAATAATAAAACAAAACAAAAACGACCCCAAGGGAAACAAGGCAGACAGGCCAGGACAGGACAGGGCACAGCAAGGCGAGGCAGGATCAGGAAGGGCAGGACAAGATAGGAACCAACAAAGGGCACATTCAATGATGTTCTGGCACAAGACTGCAAACACAAGGAGAATAAACAGGGAGCAAACATGGAGGGTAACGAAGGACAACAGGTGGGGCAACAATTAAAGCTGCAAGCAAAGTTGAAAGGGCCCTCACACCCAGGCTCACTGCCACCCGGTGGCTTTAGGAAAACAGCAAACGGTCAGCAATATGCATTTAAAGTGGTAAATATAGGAGGAATATGTCAAAGTCATTTATATGTGCCAAACTTTCTGCTGCAAGCTAGTGGTGCTATGACTATAACTGAATATTGGCATGTAGAAGTCTTCAAGCCAGGACAGATCAAACATATGAAGTTTGGTGCAGATTGAACATGGTATGTTTGAGTTAGTGTAAAACATGACATATCCTGTTGCCAACAGGTGGCACTATGATTATAACTGTATATTGGCCTTTAGATGTGTTCAGGCCAGGACACTTATCAAACATGCGAAGTTTGGGGCAGATCGGACATTTAACAACAACTTCCTTACAACAACTTCCTTTTCCATGACGAAACATGGAACTTTGTCAGGTAGCCAAGGGCACACTCTTTAACGAAAAATCAAGATCTTTGGATTCTGACATTGCAGAGGCCTTTAGAGTAGAGTAGACTAACCAAACATAATGTCGATGTCATTAAATCTCTAGGAGGAGTTCGTTAGAGCATAAAGCATGCCACTTCCTGTTGCCAACAGGTGGCGCTATGACTGTAACTGAACATGGGCATGTGTTCAGGACAGGACTCTTATAAAGCATGTGAAGTTTGGGGCAGATCGGACATTGTCTGCCTGAATTATAACAACTTCCTGTTTCATGGCGAAACATCTAAGTTTGTCAGGCCACCACGGACATGCCCTTCAATGAAAACTCAAGATCTTCGCAATTTAATGTTATAAAGGGCTTTAGATTACACTGACCAAATTTGGTGTTGATCTGTTGAAATCTCTAGGAGGAGTTCGTTTAAATACAACGCCTGAAAATGGCAAAAACTGCACAAAACTTGCCTAGAAAATTAAAAATAACAGACTTCCTGTTGGGCTTCATACTTCGTACTGGGGGACACTTTTGTAGATATTGGTGTGTTGCATGTATCTACCGAATTTCGTACTTGTATGTGAAACATAGCTTGAGGGGCACTGTATTAAAATTTTATAGGTGGTGCTATTGAGCCATTTTCCACACCCACTTCTGAAACCCATAACCATATTCGCCACTTCTGGCGCGTGTGCAAAGTTTCATGAGTTTTCGAGCATGTTTAGGCCCTCAAAATGCGATTGATTTTGGAGAAGAAGAAGAAGAAGAAACTGAGCAATTCCAATAAGGTCCTTGCACCATCGGTGCTTGGGCCCTAATAATCAGGCAACAAGATGGGCAGGGTCAAGACAATAGACATGAGAGCAGATGGCACACAGAAGCAAATAAAACAAAAGCCAAAAAAGAAACCGGGCTTGCAGACGAGATTGCGTGAAAACAAGATATGAAAACAAGACATGACAGGATTGTCAGGGCTTCATGGGCGTAGAAGATGTGGGGGGCATAAAAATCAGAAACATTTTAGACTGATGAAACGTGAAGACATTTAACACACGATTGTGACAATATATGGTTAATGTGTGTTTTTCAAGTCATCTCCAGGTAATAAAGTATATGAATTTGACATAGCATTTATTACAGTATAGAAACTATTCTGCCTTATTCTGTGATAACAATTGGAATATATACTGTATATAAACAAATCATAATAATTAACACTTCTATTCCTCTCATTTCTGAAATGATGGCTATGCCCATGCAGGGCTCTGTCACAAAACTACAAATAATCTAGACTGAAGTGACAGAACCCTGACAATGGATGCATAGTGTATGGCGCAGCCAGGCAAAAACTTTTCAACCTTTCAATTTAAAAGAGTTCAAACTTACAGGGAATTTTGACAGAATCAGTGTTTTATGACTGACCTGCTAAATTGTCCAGTGATTAATTGACTGTAGCTATCAGTTCTGAAAGGGATAATACTTCTTTGGCCACAGAGAATAATATTGTATCCTATTTATATATACACTATTTATTAACATAGTAATAACATGGTTGACAGTTAAAGACAACTTTAAGGCAAGTTTAAGGCAATATAACTTGCGAGCACAAAGCAAAAGACACTTCTCTTCAAATACAGACAAGAAGACTTTAAGTTATTATAAAGCCCAAAGCATACCTCCTTTTTTTAAAGCCCAAAGTGTTCTTCGGCCATTCGCATTCCACTACGAACTCCGCATACTGTCCTTGCATACAATCACCTTTCACAAGTGATGTTGTACATGCATTGTCCGTGTGGACATTAAATCAGGCAGATGTTCCCAGACCCTCTTGATGATTTTTTTTTTTTTTAACTTGTTAAAATGTTTTTGTACTTGTTTAAAATAGAGTTGCAGGTATCTCTTAATCCCCTCAGATAAGCACTTGTTTACACAGGCATATATTGTTTTGAATTCACTGTCACTTATAATGTATCAAATCCAAATGAGTTAATGTCAAATTTAATGTATATAGTGATTTTGTTGACATCATTGTTTTATAATTTTGTAGGTATAGTTTGCCATGTCTGTTGGGCTTTAGATGATTATTTCTGTCTGTATTTGTTTTTAGGGTTTCATGCAACCCCATCTGTTAGGAGGAGAGTTCACACACTTGGAGTTCCCCAGAAGGGTGCAACGAAAGGAGGTGGGCAAGAAGATGTTGTACCGGGACTTCACAATGACTGGCTGGTGAGGATATTACATTTGCTGTCATATTCCATCACGATTGTGTTTGTTTGTGTAGCAAGAAATATTGCTTCCTTTATTATAAAAATCAAAACTTTGTTTTATTAAACTGCTTTCAAAACTCCAAATGGCAACAGTGGAATCCAACCATATTTATTTCTAATAAATTTATGGTCTCCTCCAGGATATTTTTTTTCAGGGGTTAAAAATTGAATATTTTTAGTTGTTGTTGTTGTTGTTGTTGTGTGGTTCAGTGGTGTAAAGTATATGAGTACATGTAATTAGGTACTGTAGCGGCCTAAAAACTAACTAAAGCCGCAGGAGCTGAGTGAGGGAATAACTTGTGACACGTCAATCATCCTTTAAATTTGCGTCTTGAGATTTCTTTTATCCACCGACAACTTGTACATTGAGGCATGCATTTCTTGAAGGATCGGCAGATTATCAATTCAATGCAAAAGTTTGAATATACGGTCAACAAAAAAATGCGTGCTCCCACACATCAATTAACTCTCAAATAATTAATGACACTCCTACATTTTCCCACAGTCACATGACATCACACATGAATATTTACATGGCTCCTATATTCCATCCCCTAATTATTGTAATCTTAACAATAATTACATTCATTGAATTCACATAGGAGACATTCAAAGACCCAAGATCTTAAAATACATGAATTCATTTTTCATACATCAATCAATGTCTGTGTATTTATAAAAACAACATTATTTGATAGAGTCCATGTAAAGTCCTTAATACTTTAATGTTAATGAGTGATTTTTAACTCAGTCATATCAATGTGTGAAGTCAATATCTATAACAGTTCGATGTCAATGTCTATATTGACCAATCCAAAAAAAAAAAAACTTTTTTTAAGGAAAATGTCAAATATCTGCCTCCTGCAGAAGGCAGATTTTCGTCACTGGTCTATTTAAATAATTGGTCTTAGTTTTAAGTCGCACCTGACGTACAAAGCCTTTTTTGTCTGGAAAGGTTTGGATCACTTTCCCAATTATCCATGAATTACGGGGTGCTGAATCATCGACCAAAAGCACAATATCTCCTGGAATGAAGTTGCGGACTGCCGCTGACCACTTCTGTCGCTCTTGCAATTGAGGTAAATACTCCTTTGTCCATCGTTTCCAGAACAGATCCGATATATATTGCACTTGTTTCCATCGTCGACGAGCATATATATCTTCTTTTTGAAAGATCCCTGGTGGTAATGATGGTGCAGTCTTTAAAAGCAACAAATGATTAGGTGTAAGTGCTTCCAAATCATTGGGGTCAGTAGATTCCTTAGTGATGGGACGTCCATTAATGATTGCTTCAACTTCACATAGAACTGTATGAAGACAATCTTCATCAAGGGTTTGTGTTCTTAAGGTAGCATTAAGAACTTTCCTTACAGACCTAATCAATCTTTCCCATGTGCCTCCATGATGTGAACCAGTTGGAGGATTAAAATTCCACTTGATTCCTTTCTTCAGAAGCATGTTATTAATCTGAGATTGGTTCCAGTCTTCACATTTTCGTCACTGGTCTATTTAAATAATTGGTCTTAGTTTTAAGTCAAAAACTTACAAAGCCTTTTTTATCTGGAAAGGTTTGGATCACTTTTCCAATTATCCATGAATTACGGGGTGCTGAATCATCGACCAAAAGC